TGTAAGTATGTAGTCTATTGTTATGTTATGCATTGGTTGTTTACTTCTATGTCTTGTTTAGGCATTGTGGGTAGTCCCAGTTGGCTGGTTGAGATGATGCTAGGGCATTGTCTCTTAAAGTCCGTCGTATCCCTTAGGATACATTCTTGTCTTGCGGAATTTCTTCCTTGGGTGAGAGAAATTCATTCTGTAAGGAACCATGACGGGAACCTTCTTATCTGTTTTGTTAGTTTGTGTGTTTTGAGATCTTAGTCTGACAGTTGATGCGAGTAAGGCTCATGTGAGCGTAAAGTCATAGTCTTTGTCTGGTGGAGTGAGACGTGGGCCAAGGAGGCACTGTTTCATTACCTTTTTCCTGTGTAATCTTATGATGTAGTCGGGGAGTGTCTGGGGTGTTGGGAACATCTCTTGGGGTTTCGTGGTGACCTTGATGTGGTGACGTCATTGAGGTTTTGTTTCTAGCGTTATGGGACGGTGAGTCAGATTGACTTAAATCCTTCCTTAGAGATTGGGAGTTTTGTTTTTGTGAGCCTCAACAGCGACGTTCTCGTGTCTCTTCTTCTTAGAGTGATGGTTAAGGATTTGATACATCGACCTAGGATTCTTCTTATCTTGCCTTGGACAGCCCTTATGAGCTTAGGTTGGGGTGCGAGTGGTTCCGTACAATTAATTACTCTCCCTCGTCATCAGAGACTTGGGGTTATGTTTAGGGTTCTAATAGGATCTGGAAGAGTTCCCATCGAACTCATCGGTGTCTTGAAAGGTGTTTTCTTGTTGGTGTCTAGTAATGGTTAGTATTGGAACTAATCATTACATCACTGGTTTGTTTTGAGTGGCGTTAGGACTTCACCTTGGGTTTGAGTTAGTCTTGGGAAAGACTTGTAGGCTCTTTGTTTCGGGAACCTTAGTGTTCATTCCGGGGAGATGATTCCTTTTATCATAGTGAGAGCTTGAACTCATCCGGGTTTTTGAGATTCCTTTTTGTGAGCTTATCCTTTTGAGAGGCATTCCATCCCTTCTTGCTTTTGTTCTTGTGGAATTGTTATTTGCATAGTCATTCTTACCTGTTTTATATGCCGTGTTGTTTTGAGCATGCCTTAGAAATAGGTTTAGGGGATGTAACTATTTGGTAGTTATGTGCCGATATAGATGATGTGTTTTTCATTTACTATATCTGTTTATCGTGCTAGCGTTATAGGTGATATGTAGCGTGTTTTTGATACTTGACCCCTGTGTGATAGGTAGCATATTTGAAAGCCCTTGTACACTATGTGTTTAGTTGTATGGTGCATGGATTTTCATTTACGTTTAGTATACTTGTACCTAGTATGCTTGTACATTGTATACTTCAGTTCGTTTTGGTTTAGTATATTTGAGCCTGTATACTTGTCTACCATGGATTTAGTACTGCTTAGTATACTTATGGATGTATACTTATATATATATATATATATATATATATATATATATATATATATATATATATATATTGCGTTTTCGTTTTGATTTTGCTTAGTATACTTGTGTATACTTGTATATATATATATATGTTTCATAACTAATTGCTTTATTAGTTTATTCATTTTTATCATTCCGTACTGTGCTTAGGGTTGTATGACCTTAGTTGTCGGGATTGTGTGTATGAGCTTGATCGGATGTTTTGATTTCTAGGCGTAGCCTTGTAGTAGGTCAGCTTTAGGATGACGTGGAGGTTCTTGGGTGGATTGTCTTGTTAGGAGTCGTTCTGACTGGGACGATGATGATGTTATTTGATTTTATAAGTCCGATCCATTGGCTTAAGGGCATAGACTTATTCGGCCTTAGATTCATAACTGATGTGGTTGACAATGGTGTTTTGAGACTTGGGGTTGTCAGTTTTTCTAGTATTGAGTATTTAAGGCCTTAAGCGTAGCGGTGCCAATGACATTATTGTCAGAGTTTTGGATTGGCCAGAATGGTCTGGCCGGACATTTTGGACCATATCACAACTCTCACAGAATGCCTAGTTCCCGTGGTGCTTTTGGTAATGATCAATTGACATTGATGTCATTTGTATCAATAGATTTCACGGCTAAGCTTGTTAGGGGCAGATGACGAATTAGGGCATTATACTATCATGCTGCTGTACAGGTTATGTGTGGGCGAGTGTTAGTTACCGTCGATGCTACCTTGTTTTACCTAGCTAGTAATATGAGTATGGGCGGGCACTTGACGCTGTGGATGCTACCACACCTTGGGTATGTTGTGGCCGGGTCCTAGTCACTATTCGTGCTGCTATGTTGATTCTAATTATGTTCCTTATCTCGACGTGTAGTTACCTTAGTCTCCTTTGGGGTGGTTGACATTGGGTCAGTATGTCAATTTGTTGGAGAGGTGTCTCACGGTTCGTGGTTTCGTGTCCTTTCGTTGATCTTGAGACCTTTGGAGTTATCCTTCGGTACTTTGTGATTTGTTCCTTGGTTTGACCATGGGTTCAATCCTTATATGGTTCTTCTAGGAATGTTCCTAATTTCAGGGACGAAATCTCCTTAAGGAGGGTAGGTTGTAATGACCAGGTCATTTTCCTTCATTTCCTTTTTCTCCATTTTTACGGGTTAATTTTTTTTGTTGAAATTTCCCTTTCCGTAACCTCACTTTTTGTGCTTAGAGTTGGTTTTTGACGTCACGTACTTCCATTCTTATTAGTTTCCTTAAAAGATGTAACTTTACTTTTGGAGAAAAGCTCGCCGGTTGTTTCTTTTTCCCATAGGGGCATGGATGAAGAGATTCTTCAGAAATATTTTTGTTTCTTGGGGTGCTTTTCATAAATATCCTTTGAAGATATTTTGATTTAGGGGTTTCTAAAAAAATACCTTTTGGAAGATATTTTCATTTGGGGTCACCTATGCAGTTATCCTTTTGTGTAGGGATCTATGTGCAATTAATGAAAGTTAATTACAAAATGTCTCTTTGGGGCTTGAATCCTCGTACAGAATCCATTTTCACATTTCGTCATGTCATGTGCTCCTAGAATTGTCTTGCAGTCGAACCCTACAGTTTTCGGGTTTTCGGCTCTAGCTAGCGCTAAACTTGTTTGGGCCATATCTCTCTGCTCGGGACTTGATTTTTGCTGTTCTTTCTTCCGTTGTTCATTTTTTCTCATATTGATTCTTTTTCGTTTACGAAGTTTCGCCATTTAAGCGCGTTTGCTCAAATTTCACTTTTTTGGACCCGGCGGGGCCTATTCGGGGCACTTTTAGGGTTTTTCTATAAACGGGGGTCTCTAAAATGAAAAATGAGATATTTTCATCTTTTTCCCCTCTCTTGGCCAGCCAAAGCTCCTCCCTTGGCTTCCATATTCTCTCTCCTCTTTTGGACTCCTTCCTCTTATTAAAAAGTGGTGATGCCTTAGGCTTTATTATTCGCCTGGACGAGGCCTTCTATTCCAACCGATTGGAATTCCGTTTTGGCCATTTTTTGAGTTTAGGTTTGAAGCCAAGTTAGGATTTTAGTAGGACCTCCTTGGGGTTTAATGATCACCTTGTTGTCCCTGACAAAACCCCGAAGTTTCGTCAGATTCGGAGCGGTTTCATTTCGGTGGGGAATTGAGATTTCATCTCCAATTGAGGTAGGGGATGTCATAGGTTTATATTTGGGTTATATTGATTGTTTTATAAGCATGTACAACTTGTGAGCATGCCTTTGTTCAAGTTTTAGAATTTAATTTAATTATTTTCTATGTTTAAGATTTAATTCATATGGCTGTGTATTGTTTTGAATTAAATTGTGGCATGCTAGTAAATTAGGCCTTGGTATGTTTATCAACATATATTAAATTGGGAGCATTTGAATAAGAATTGTAAATTTTATTTAATAATTATCTTTTATGAAAGTTTAATTCACATAGTTGAAACAAGCATGAAATCAACTTGTAATGTGATATTAAAGTAGGCCTTAGTGAGTTCTTTAACCTGTGCTAATTTGAGGACATTTGGAGTCGTTTAAAAATCTAGAGAAAATAAATTAATTAGCTTAATTAATTTTATTTATAAAGTGTTATAGTCACTTAAATTGATATTGGGTGTAATATATGTGAAGACCATGCTATATCCTTTAACATATGTTAATTTGAGTCTATTCGGAATTGATTTGAAATCTAGAGACTTTTCGTGTTAGGTTGATAACCTCTTGTAACTTACTATGCTTAATTACCTTGTGAGCATATTACTAATTAAATGTAGAATTAGTGCTTGTAGCCTCTTGAAATGGTAATTGGACGTCGCATGATATAGAATATCATTGACTTGCATAACTTGTTTAAATATATCTTGTGTAGGTATATAGCTTGTTAGAATATTATAATTGTTTATCTTGAAAGCTAGTTACTAAATTGAAGCTTATTTAGTACTTGTGACTTAGGATGGTAATGTGGCTCAATTATTGTAAAATATTTTTGCTTTATGTATAAATTGCATATTGAGGACATAACATGTCATATGCTATTTAGACTTGAATAAGGCGATTAGGGTTTTCTGTAAGGTAGGTGGCTAGCGACGATCACAGGGATGAAGGAGGGCCAGTCTTCCACCCCTCTTCAGCCGGTGGGATCTCCAAACCGAAATACAAGAACTCATACGTCTTGGTGTAAGTTTTTCTCTAAAACGGCATCGGATTTCTAGAATCTTAAGTCTCACAGTAACATTCGTGGAAAGAAACTTTCTATTTTAGAAGAAGATGTGGCCGAAGAAATCTATTACTGGTCATCTTCTGTAGTTTGTTATGTGATGGGAAAGAAGCCGTTTTATTAGTACTTCAAAACTTTTGTTGAGAAGAGATGGTCCAAGAATTTTAAATTGGTTTACTTAAATGATGGTTTCTTTCTGATTCGATTTCATGATGATGCTGTTGTTATGAAGGTGTTATCCCGTATTCATATATTTGAGGGAAGACCTATAATCCTTAAAAGATAGTGCAAGAATGTTAACCTAGTAAAAGAGGTCTTGGAATCAATCCCAGTGTGGATGAGGATTTATGATATCCCCGTTCACTACAGGAAGGCTCAAGTGGTGTCTATGATTTACTCCTCCGTTGCCAAACCGATCTATATGGTTGGATCTGAATCAAATATAGACAAAGGAAGGTATTTATGTGTTATGGTTGAGGTAGATGTGAAGGAAGCATTGCCGGACTCAATAGTAGTGGACATTCATGGGGTTGACTGTGAGCGTGAATTTGAATATGAATGGAAACCTCAGGTCTGTACTCTATGTCAACGAGTGGATCATGTTCAAGAAAAGTGTCCACAAAAGGTGGTACAAGTGAAGCCTAAGAAAATGGTTGGAAAATGGATGGTAAAGCATCAAGGTAAAATGGTCAGTCGAGATGAAGATGATGTGCTCGTAGAAAAGTCTCAAAAGAATCCTTTGATTCATAAAGTTGCAGAGGAAACAATCACAACGTCAAATACATTTCAATTATTGCAGAATACAAACCAAGACGAAGATGTAATGGAGGGTTTACAGTCTAAGAATAGGGCTTTGGAGGCAAATACAATTCTTATACAAGAAGTTTTGATGGGGGTTTTGCAGTTAGAACATAAGGCTGAGAGTACATCGGAAGTTGAGGGAATCTCTACCCCAATACACTCATAACAATTTGTGATAGAAGAAGAAGTTGTTATAGGGGCTGGCAAGACTGATTCGGTTACAAGTGCAGCAGGGGTAAAATGTGGTAATCCAAGTGATGCTACTGATTCAGGGAAAGTTACTAATGCTAAGTCAGTTGAGAGTGTTGGCCCTAAGACGAACATTGCCATTGATGTTCTATTGGTTGTGTTGAAGAGGGCCAGCAGGATAGAAATATGTCTTCTAATAATGCTCCAACAGATGACCAAGGTGGAGGGAAATCTTGACAACGTAAGAAACCAATTATCCCATCTTCGGATAGAGTGACTAGAGGTAAACTAACTGGTAGTGGTGCACTACCAACCCCTTCTCAGTAATGTTAGGAGCTTGGAATGTGAGAGATCTTAATAGACCTTCCATGCAAAAAGAAGTTAAGCAATGGCTCATTGAAAATCAATTTGGTTTAACTTTCCTTGTGGAAACCAGAGTTAAGGAGGGAAAATCTTTTCGAATACAGAAAAAACTTGGGCTTCATTGGCCTTGGTTGGCTAATTACAACTCTAATAATTTGGGAAAATTATGGTTTGGCTGGAAAAAGGCTATGTTTACGGTTGTTTTGATTTAAGAAGATGCCTAATCTATGTTGTTACAGATGCATTATATAGGGTCTGGTGTTGGTTTTTATGTTACTGCTATATACGCTGCAAATAGAGCTACTGCTAGAAGGGACCTATGGCAATCCCTGAAAGTACAAGCTACTAAAGTTCAAGGGCCTTGGATTGCTTTGGGGGATTGGAACATGGTTAGATATAATCATGAGAAAAAAGGTAGACTGAGAATTCCTCAAAGTAGACTTGATGAATTTAATAGTGTTATTTATGATATCAAGATGGATGATATTCCTATCAACAATGGCGATTGGTCCTGGTGTAATAAGTAACATCTTCATAAAAGGATTAATGCCAAGTTGGATAGGGTTTTGATAAATGATAGGTGGCTTCAACCATTTAATGATGTTAAAGTGTATTTTACTGCAGCTTCATTGTCTGATCACTATGGTCTAGCTACTCAATGGCATTTTGATTGTTCTGAAGGTCCTAAACCATTCAAATTCCTTAAGATTTGCTGTGTTCAAGGGGAAGTTGATAATGTGGTTGCCAAAGCTTGGGAGCTTTCAGGTTCTGGAAATCCTTTACATATTCTGTAGAAGAAATTAAGGGCAGTGAAAGATGCTGCTAAAGAATGGAATAAGACAAGAGGTTTAATTTCTGAGCAACTCCAAGTTGCTAGGGAGGATCTACAGAAAATTCAATTGGAAATGCTACAAGGTATAATGAATGAAGATTGTATTTCTAGAGAAAGGGAAGCTACTGGAAAACTGCAACATGTTTTGGATATTGAAGAAATTTTCTGGGCTAAAAAATCTAGAAGTAAATGGCTGAAAGAGGGGGATAAATGTACAAAAATTTTTCATAATTTGGTCAAGCAAAGGAGAGGCTTCAATGTTATTACCAAGTTACAAAATTTAACTGGAGAACAGTTTGAAGACCCCAAGGTAATTAGAGAATGGTTGATTCAATTTTATTCTTAGTTATATTCCAAACAAGGAGAGGGGATTCAAGAGGTTTGTCCACCTAGAAAAAATTTAATGGCGGCAGAGTGCATTTCCTTAGATTGTCTTATCACTATTGAAGATATTAAAGGTGTGGTTATGAATTTTCATCCAGACAAAGCACCTGGTCCTGATAGTTTCCCTGCCAGGTTTTTTCAGAAATATTAGGGGATTGTTGGACAAGATGTAAGTCAAGCTATTCTTCAATTTTTTGAGCATTGTAAATTCCCTCAAGGAATTAATTCTACTTTTCTTACTCTTATTCCAAAGGCTAACCATGGGGATAAGATTGCTAAATACAGGCCCATTGCCCTTTGCAACAGATTAAGTATTGTGCTACTTGTTTTGATTGGTCCTGAGCAATCAGCTTTTATTAAGAATAGAAGGCTGCATGACAACATTCTTCTAGTATCTGATTTGGTTAAGGATTTTGGCAAGAAACATGGTGTTCCCTTTATTGAATTGAAGGTGGATTTGAAAAAAGCTTACGATTCAGTGGATTGGAAATATATTCTATGGAGAATGAAGGTTCATAGCTTCAGTGATAGGTGGATTGGTTGGATTTCGCAGTGCATTACTATAGCTAAGTTCTCTATTTTGTGCAATGGTGTTCCTGCTGGGTATTTTGGGGTCACTAGAGGGATCAGACAAAGTTGTCCCTTATCTCTATTCTTATTTTCATTTGTTACAGAGTATTTTAGTACCTTAATGATGAATGGGATTCAGTCAGGTCGAATTCATTTGTGTAGAGCAGTGTCTACTTCTGGTATGTGTATTTCTCATGTTTTTTATGATGATGATCTACTTGTGGTGGTTAAGGCTGATGTTTCAACTGCAAAAAGTGTGGATGTTGTCTTCAAACAATTTCAGGATGCTTTTGGTCTTCAAGTTAATAAAGAAAAGAGCTCCATTATATTTTCTAAAGCTGTTAGAGGTAGAAGAAGGTTGTCGAGAATTCATAATTTTCAAACTGAAAATTTTCCTTTTACTTATCTGGGTTTGCCTTTATCAAACAAAAAACTAAGAGTTGATGATTATAGAGTGCTGCTGGATAAAGTGAACTCAAAGTTGGCTCATTGGAATTCTATTAATTTATCACTTGTAGGGAGGCTTGAGTTAATTAAATTAGTTTTATATTCTTATATGTATCAATGGTTGTTTGGGTTTAAGATACCTTGGGCAGCTATGAATCAGTTGGAAAAGAGGTTTAAGTGGTTCATTGGAGTGGTAAGAAAGATTTGAAGAGAATGTCTCGAGTAAAGTGGAGTCAAGTGACACATCCTGTGTCTGAAGGTGGAGAATCCATGATATAGATGTTATTGCTAAAATGACATTGTGTTGGGATTTTGTTCAAACTAAAGAAAAATTGTGGATCCAATGGTTGCAAGCTGTTTATCTTAAAAATGCTTGTTTTTGGACTGTGATACCAAAGTTAAGTGCATCTTCTATCTGGAAGCATTTATTGGAGTCTAGACAGCTAATTTTGGAAAATACAGAATATAAGGTTGGGGATGGTATGAAATTCAAATTATTAACTAATCCATGGTGCAATGCATTGTCTTTGGTTCAAAATTTTGGGGCTACACAATTTAGACACATTGACAGAAATACCATGGCTTCTGAAATTATTCAAAATGGTACTTGGTTCTTTCAAATTGATTTGCCTAATGAAGTCTGTCTTGTTATTCAAAATTTGGAACTGAAGATAGGTTCTGATACAATTGTTTGGAAGCATGGACAATTTTCTCTGAAGGCAGCTTGAAGTATCTGCAAGGTTAGAAAACAACAAATGACGAGTAAGTTATTTTGGGGCTACTGTAGACCTCGAATTGCTGTGGGAGTTACTATAATTTTACATAACAAAACCCCAGCTTTGTTAATCTGCAGAAACGTGGTTTGATACTTCCATCCATCTGTCATAATTGTTTGGCAAATATTGATTCCAATGACCATCTATTTTGTGAATGTGCATATGCTGTTGCAATTTGGCATGAGATAAACTCAATTCTGTAGTTGGAAATGCTTAGATTTTCTACTTTTTTGCAGTTGATAGATTGGTTCATTGTGAATACAAATGTTAAAAGCATAAAATCAAAGGTGCTGGGTGCTTTTTTTGCTGTTACAATTTGGAAAATCTAGTCAAGTAGAAATTTAGCTATACACAATATAACAAAAGATTCTTTTGCTTATGCTGTTAGGACTATAATTTGGGATGTGCTTGGGTATCTCAATTTTATAACAAAAGATTTGTTACTTATTTGCAATTGAAAATGAAAATTTCTTCTTGGTTTGAAGCTTGGTTGTGTTGCAAGTTCAGAGTTTTGATAATAGATTTCTTTAATGAAGAAGGCTTTTTAAAGATTAGAGTGAAGCTATAAGCTATTAAGATGATTAGAATCTATTTGTGCTCGTCAATAAACTTATGTTTAAGTTTGTTGAGTTTTTTGGCTGGAGGTAGAGTTTTTCCATTCAAATTTATGTTCTGGAGTTTATCTCCTTTTGTAATTGTACTATTTTGATTTTTATTTATAAAAAAAAAAAAAAAAAAATACACCCCATTCAGGGAAAAAAAAAAAAAATTGTATAAGTTTTGAACTTATTGATTTTAGAAAGCTTGTGAGAACATAATTTATGTGATGGCTAGGGTTTGGCTCTAATACGGGGGCAAGAGTCCTATAAGTCATAAGTGTGCACTAGGTGGTGCTTTGTGGGTCGTAATTACCTGAAAATATTTGCTTGGTCTAGCGACCTCATGTCCTAGTCTTTCCACTATTTGTTTTCGCATTTAATTTCAAGTTGTTAATCATGGATTACTTGTACCTTGAGAATTGATGCTTGTTTTGGGTATTTGAATCCTATTTAGTATACTTGAACTTGTATACTTGCTTCGTGAGTTTAAATTTCATTTAGTATATGTATGCCGTGTATACTTGTCTTATGTGTATTTCTTTTAGTTTAGTATATTTTTGGTTGTATACTTGATTTATAAGTACTCTACATATATCGAATACTTGTGTATGTATGTTAGATATTGCTTATCTTATTTAACATGATTTAAGGTACTTGAATATGTATGCTTGTATGTCGTGTATCATGTTTTAATACGATTTAGTGTACTTGAGCATGTATACTTGTATGTCGTAGTTTATTTCAATTGCATGAGTAGCTTAGGATGATCCCTGTGACGACCCTGGTTTTTTAAGCAAGTGCGTCCTGTGATGAACCGAAGGTTGACCCGATAGCGGATCCAGATGCGGAAGCAAGAAACAAGATAACGGTCTCCCAAGGCATAACACACCTCTAAGACACTTTGATGACCTTCAATGAGGTTATGGAACTCAATGAGAATTGAAGTGGAAGCAAAAGATCAGAAAAAAAATAATTAAGCCCCCAGGGGTAAAATAGTCATTTTATATGGAAATGAAGTCCCTAGAATGTACATCATTCTCGAGACACATCCATAACATCTCATGAAGTCACAGGACTCAAAAGAAAGTAGCGAAAGCGGAAAGTAATCAAAAAACGGGACAAAAATAGTCCAAAGGGCAAAATAGTCATTTTTTAAAATATGAATTCAGGTGCCATCGAGCACACCGCTGGAAAGACAATAAAAATCTAATCAAGATGGACTCAAGAATCGCATGATTCGGAGTCCGAACGAAGGAGAAACGGCATGACGAAGAAAAACGAGCACTTAAGGCTAAAATGGTAAACTAGTAATTATCCAGGAAGATCCGGGTGCAACCGAGCACACCGTTGGAAAGACAGCGAAAAATTAGTCAAGTTCAAAAAAAGTTCACTCGATTTGGAATCCGAACAAAGGAGAACAAGCAAAAACAAAAATCGACGTCACGACGTCGAGATGGGGCACCACGAGCATCCTGACAAGCACCATGACATGCTAGGGAAAAAAAAAAAAAGATCCAGCAAGAACTGAGAGCCAAAACGAGGTCCGAAACGAATTTGTTGGGAAAAACACGAATAAGACACCCCCCTCTAAAATCGAGTTTTCTACCTGACTAGGTAGAAGGAAACGAAAAAAACACACTGAAAAATCCCCAAAATGCCCCTAGATCAGAAGAGGTCAAGAGGGCCCAAAAAGATGCTACAGTAACTGTCCACATCTGAGATAAAAAATGGGCTATCAAACAAATTTTTCTGGAACAACATGAAGAAGAAACCCCTCCTAAAATCAAATTTTCTACTCAGTTATGAGAAAGAAAATAAATAAAAGAAACACACTATGACATGGCCAAAATTCCCCTAGACTAGAAAAGGGCAAAAACAAAAAAAAAAAAAAAAAAAAAAAAAAACTGATGCCTTATGGAATTTATGAATCTATCAACAACTGAGAGCAAAAATGAGCTAGTATATGGACTTTTCTAGAAAAATAGGAAAAAGAAACCCCTTCCGAAATCGAATTTTCTATTCGACAGCGTGAGAGAAAATGAAAAAAACACAAAGTGAAATGCCCAAAATTCCCCTAGATCAAAAAAGGGTTAAAAACTCAAAAAATGCAGCTTTGCACCAAGTATGCATTTGACCCTAAATGCATATCTAGGTTCAAACGAATGTGCACACAAGTGTAATAAATGATTCTAAGCACGCGGGAATGGTCCACGGCTCCCGAAAAGGCCCGACTCAAAATTCAACGCCCCGGCGGCCAAAAATGAGAAAAATGATCTTAGAATCGAAATTTGAAATGGAGTCAAATTACCGTTTGGCCCTTGGTCACACTTCATACATAATTAATAAGATCCTATGGAAGAAAAATAATGGAATTCCCACACCCGATGCAAACATGGTGAAGTAATGACTTGCAATTTTTTAATATTTTCATAATATTTCATGAAGTTAAAAGTTACATAAGATACAAGATACATGTTATTGGCCTCCGGCCTCATCTTATACATGTCAAATACATTAAAAAATGTGTACCTATGTACACATTACATATATTGAATCAAGGATACAAGTTTTGACATATAAGGCTACAAAATGACATTTGATGCTAACATTTGCATAAAATGTAAACTTAAAAACTACAAGTCATCCAAGGAATGATGAGCATCACGAACCAAGTCTTCGTACCTAAAAAATGCCCCGGTACTTTTGGGGTGAGTAACATAAAGCTATACGTAGGAGCTGAGCACGCATACAAAATTATCACCTTAAGCTACCTTAGAGTATTTTTAGTATACCACATCATTCATGCAATTTAAATGACATAGGAGCACATAGTGTAACGCAACAAGACATAGGTATCCAAAGTTATTAAATTTTAACCTAGAATGCGATAACTATTGAAACGATTCGTGCCACCAACAATCTAAGTCAAGATATTTATATAGGATCATTCCTAAGTCATATTAACATGGAGTAACATGAATCACGATGTCTATGAAATTGAACAAGGTTGGGATAATCCAAAGAACACGACAAGTTTATAATTTAACATGAATCACATTATCAATGAAATTGAACAAGGTTTCGAATAATCCATACAATACGACAAGAAGGGTACTTGAATACAATGATCACATTATCAATGCAATTAACATGATTGGAACATGTGATACCCCTCGGATCCGAGATGCTGATTGATCAGGTCCAAGCCCAAACCCAAGGGATATTAAACAATTAAAGTATTTTAAATCGAACACGGAATACAAAGTGAATAAGAAATAATAGTTAAAAACTGAAAGAATACTAAATTAAAAAGAAATCCTCAACTTAAACTAATTAAAAACTAACTTATTCAAACTCCTCCAATCCATACAACTCGGGAATCCATCTCTAGTGGACCCCTAATAAAACTCCAAACTGAATGAAAGTAAAAATTGAAGATAAAATCCAAATCAAACATCTGGAAAGAAATCCTACGTCATCGGTAGAGTGGAAGTCTGCATCTACTCTGCTCATCCAAGCTTTAACCCTGGACCTGATGAACACCTGAAAAATAAAGGAGTGGGTCAGGCCCACATGCAAGTCCTGATCTACCACAATCCAAACAGTAATCTGATACACAGATACATCCTAGAAAGACTCAACAATATCTAGAGTAGTCCATATATGTATATATAGTACACACTATAGGATGCTCGTTAGTCCAGTAGGTCTGTCTTAGCCTGAATAGAAGGCAACATGCGAATACGCACCCGAAGGTGGGCATAAGTACCTAGACCTACTAGGGAACAACACCTATGTCCAGGTATCCATCCTAGGTGATATACGCGCCCTAACCATGGTCCTGAGACTCAAGCTCAAACCAGAGCACATAAAATAAATATATAAAGTCCGTACTCCTATCACAAAATATCAGCCATCTATATAGTGGTCTGATATATGGAAACACTCCATCCTGAAACCATAATAGATCATTCAATTTATTTGATTGACATGACACAAGTAGGTGATGAACTTAACCTTTATGGTAAATCCATACCTGAATCCAAATTGGGTCAGACTTAGTGTTTTGAACTAATCCATTCCCTATATAGGTAGGTCTTAGTGTTTTGAACTAAGCCATCCCTAATATGGCACCGTCCCATACCAGTTCATATATATCCATATAAGTGGGACTTAACCTTTTTATGGTTAATCCAACTCATTCCAAATTTGGTAGGATTTAGTGTTTGAACTAATTCATACCTTGTATGTCACCGTCCCAAACTGGTACATACAACCCTCCAGTTAACATAGTTGATAAAACAGTATTAGATGCAAACCAACCATACTCCAGTATAAGCGTACATAACAATCTAACAGGTGTAGGATTGAATTATGCACTCAATATAAGGTTTAGCAGTTCTAAACTAACCTTTTAAATTGATCAAGAATAACTGATCATTTAACTCCTCTGAACTGCGTAGTTAATTAAACCACACTATATAATCAACATCCATCCTCCAAAATATGCATCAATAAATATACATACATATATAGCAATGTAAGGTAATCACAACAGAACCTAAATATCATGCTCTAACAAATTTAAATAGCTAGAATCAGTCATAGCATTTAAATTCTCATGAAATCCATAAATTGATAAAATTAATAGAATATATATATCAATTTATGTTAAATCAAGCACAAATGATTTCAAGAACTTACCATATTTATAAATTTGTTTAAATATA